TGGGAAACACAGGTTGAGGCCAGAGTGAAGCGCGTGCACAAGGGAATTTCCTCACCCCACCCCAGGGTGGGGTGTGGCCCCAGACTGGCCCCTCGACCACCCGGTCTTCTCCCCAAGTGCAACATGGGTGGTCGCTTCTCGCCCTGACCGCCAGTCTCCACCCCGGAGGCCCCGGTCAAGCTGCCCTCTGAGCCGCCCCTAACACCCAGAGCAGAGCTGCCGCCTCTGCCTGGGGCTCCACAGTGGCCCCCGTGAGGCCACTGTCCTGGTCACCAGAACATTCCAGAACACAAGCCTGAGGGCTGTGAGGTCCCGCCAGGCAGGGGGCTCTGTGGACCATCTCCTCCTCACTGGCAGCGGCAGGGACTTGGTGTAGGCTGGGCTCAAAGGCGTGTGAAGAGACATGACGGCCATCTCCCTGGGCCCCAGGCACGCGGTCACCTTGTGCCCAGGACCCAGGCTCAATCCAGGTGATGCTACCGGCCCCTCAGGTGGTCTTGGTCCTGACTTGGCAGGAATGTGAAGCTCACACCCGCCCTGGGCGGGGCACGCACCTCCCAGGTTGTGTAAGGGCCCCCCAAATGCCCATCCCTGCCTTGAGAGGAAGAGCTCTTGCAGGCTCTGGGGCTTTCCCCGAGGTGGGGCCCACAAGGGTGGGGCTCTGCAAAAATGGGGCACTGGCAGCCCCAGCGGAGGTGCTATGACATGTTGGGTCAGAAGCAGACACCAGTGCTCAGAAGAAAAGAAAACAGAAGAGGTTTTCCTCACTCGTGTGGAGGTCAGGCCTCTTGGGGCCTTCTCAGGTCCTCCTTTTGGGGTTCCCCAAACCCCAGCCCATAGTGTATAGGGGACATAGGCTGTCAGTCGGAATTAAAATGGAGAAAGCCAGGAGAATATCCGGAGTCCTCAGTCTCTGGAACTTTACCTAGTGCCCAGGAGAAGTGCCCACAAGCTCACGAGCTATGGGGCAGTCAGAAATCGCCGGGGCCCTCAGCACAGAGGAGATTCCGTGTATCGATGTTGAGGGGCTTTCTTTTCTTTTCTTTTTTAAAGATTTATTTATTTATGCATACATGAGCTGGGGTACAGGCCAGAGGTGTGGGTCGTGAGAGGATTCACCAGAGACAGAGTGGAGAACAGACCAGGCAGATTGACCAAAGTACACTGCTGAGGGGAGCAGCGGGCGAGTCAGGAGAGGTCTGCTGCACCATGTGGGTTGCTCCCTGGCTGGCCGGGGATCGAACTCGTGCTGCAAAGGCTGCAGACAGCTTCACAGGTTGCAGACAGCTTCACAGGTTGCGTCCCAACCCCTTGCACCACCAGGGAGGCCCTTTGAGTGGCTTTCTAGTGCCGGGCACTTGGTGAATAACTGGATGTGTGAAGATCAGTAAAAAGTGGCAGAGGGCAGGGTCTGCCGAGCAGAGGGCATGAGGCTGGAAAAGTGAGCAGGGCCAGCCCACGAGGGTCCTGGGACCAAGCTCAGGTGCGTGGACCTGTCCCTTTGGACCGAGGATCACCGGGAAGGGTTTTAAGTAAAGGAGTCAAGCGGGACCTGTCCTGCTTTGACCCCTCGTGCCAGGCAGGTGGGGTGTCTGACCAGCAGCGGGCACTCAGAGCTGGAGTCTGTCTTCAGTCGAAAAGTCAGGTGGGGAAGGTGAGCTCTGCTCATGTCATGTGCTGGTCGAACGAACGCCTGCGCCTCCACCCCTGGACAGAGGTCACCTCGGCTGCCGCAGGGCCCTGCTGGGCTCCAGGAGGCCCTGGCGTGGTTCCTGCCTGTCCTGGCAGCTTCCCAGTGAGCCACACCAGGGCAGGCCGAGGCGGGTGGTGATGCAACAGCACTTTATACAACTGAGTCTTGGGACTTCCACTTAACACACGGGTGCCTTCGGCCTCCAACAGATGCTTTCAGAGGCACCGGCTTCTCTGGTTAACACCACCATGACTCACACCAGGAGGGCCTCCCCGGAAGCCGCGCGGCATGCCTGGGGCACATCATTTGGCTGTCAGCACAGGCGGCACACTTTCAGCCTCCAAGGTTGGAATGGCATTTGGAAACACCTCCAAAATTCGAGGGCAAGCCTAGGGTGCTGTGAGTGACTGAGCCGTGGAACACTGTTTTTAGTTAAACATCTAAAGGGACTAGCTGCTTCCCAGGATCCAGAAGGCATGTACTATGGCATCCTGGCCAGGACAGTCCTTACCACCCTGGTGGCTACAGTTCTGAGCCTTGCGTCCCCCCGAGGCCCCCAAGTCAACTACTACCGTGCTTTGGGGAAGAAAAAAGGAGCAGCAGCTCATGACCGTGGCAAAACACAAACCTATTTTCCAGGAAGTTCTTAATGTCAAATATTTCCAGTATTAAGTCTTCTATGTTATTTCTTTCCAGCGAAATTGGCTCCTTAGATGTGTCCCCTTATAAAACTCTTCCTTTATCAGGTGCATCCTGAATTTTGGTTCAGACAATGTGCTCACTGGACTTGTACAGAGTTCTCCAAGTAAAGATGACAGAGACTGCTAGAACATCAGAGTGCGAGGAGCTAAGTTCCCTCCCGTCCAATCCAGCAAGGGAGCCTTGTACAGAGAGGAAGAGGTACTAGGGCTTCATGTGAGCTGGAAGCTGAGGGTTGCTTAACAACAAAATGGGAATTGGCCCTGGACCTGGGGCAGGGTGACTGAGGATGCAGCCTGCTTAGCATGACCACGGCAGGTTCTGGTTTGTTCGCCTCCTACAGCACGCACAGACATCTCCTCTAGACATTGCCATCACAGCTTCAAGGACCTGTTGCTCTTCCACTGAAAGGAAGAGGAGGCAGCTCGCTGGAAGCACAACACTCACTTGAAGAAGGACAGGTTTAGTCGCCAACCTACTAGTTGAGGTTTATCTTCTTGACTCCAAGTCGGTAGCCCCGGCTGACTCAAGCCCCGCTGACTCCCAGATCCAAGCCGAGGGTCTCTCCTGGAGCCGGGGGCCAGAGCATGGTTCCGACCTGGGCTTGTTTCCCCACATGGGTCAGAAGCACCATTTGGGCAGGGTCTGGCCTCCCCAGAGAAGAGCCTGGCAAGCGGGCAGCGGATTTGGGGTGTGCTGGTAGGAAAGGCTTTGTATGGGGGTGACCAGTGTGCCCATCAGTGGGACAGACCCCCTGTTTCCTGAATAAAGAATCCACCTCTGCGTTCCAGCTCAGATTTTGGAGTCTAAAATACAGAGAACCGAGCTGAAAGGCACCCCAGACCTGACCCAAACCCTCCCTATCTAAGAGTCAGGGAAGTGTCAAGTCACACCACAGCAAGCTGCGGCAGGCCGGGGAGGGGCGGCTACCGCTGGGTTCCCCTCCTCAGGCTGCCACCAGGAGCCCACGTGGGAGACATCCTGTCCCTCTGTGGGCCAGTGCCCACCAGGCGGGAAAGATGTGCCAGGGAAAGGTGTGCCGTGGGGACAACGCTCTGGCCTGGCCTGGGCACTGGACACGGGCAACTTCCGGAGCGTGAAGACAACTGTGCTCCTGGAACAAAACGTTTCTTGACAGAGAGGGGGACGGACACCAGGTGCTCACGGTGGGATCTTCGGCGCTGTCCCAAACTGCACCTTGGGCGGGCTGTTCCCTGAGGAGATGTCATCCCTCCCAGGGGTTAACTCGATGGGTGGAGATACAATCCCTGCTCCCTCTCCCAGCAGAGGCACCCGGCTTATCTCGACAAAGTAAAAACAAAGCGGAACAAGGTGCCCGCGAGAGAAGGGGGCTCCTCCCTCCCTTCTGACGACTTGCTCTGTCCGTGCGGTGTCCTGGAAGCCGCGTCTGGCCGGGGACAGCGGGTCCTTCAGTCGCTCGCTCAGTCCTGCGAGTGTTCACCGCCTCCGCCTCGGACCCGGGCACGGGGATGGCGTTTCCAGGCCTCACAGGGTTCTGCAGCTGTGAGGATCCGGAGATCTAGACCAGGTGAGCTGGGGTCTCGGGTCCAGAGAAGGGGTGACTCGCCACACAGCAGCGGGGGGAGCCCGCGAGGACCCCGAGCTGACCAGGGCTGGGGTCGCGGGACCTTTGATCCCCACGGCGAGCCGGCGAGCTCCAGCCCACACCCGGGCGGGACCTGGCGGTCTGTGGGGTGTTGCCTTCAAGGAAAAGTGATGGGAGAAAAGAAACTGTGGGCGCCTGGTGGGCGAGGCGGGGGGGGGGGGGCGTGGGGACCAGCGCCCCAAGGACCGGCGCGGCCCCCGCGAGGCGCGGGAGCGCGGGCACCGCAGGGCCCGCCGGCGTCCCTGGAGGACGGCGCGAGCCACCCGCCAGGAGCAGGGCCGCGGGGCGCGGGGGCTCTGGGGGGCCTGGGGGGCCTCCCATTAGCGACCCGCCCCGCCCCAAGGCCCCCGGACACGGCCCGGCCCGGCGCGGCCCGCGGGGCTCGGAGGCTCCCGGAGTGGGGGGCACCAGGGCCGCCTCCGGGAGCTGCGCCCCGCACGCCCCGGCCCTTCCCGCTCCCTCCCGCGCCCGCGGGCACGAGGCGGCCGGAGCCCCGGCCTTAGCTCGGGGCCGAGCGCGCAGCGAGCGGCCGCCGGGCCCGGGCCTGCGCCGTGGTGCGCGTGCGCGGGCCTGCAGCCCGGCCGCCGGGCGCGAGCCGGCCGGGGCCCGCGGCGGTGCGCGTGCGCGGACTTGCCGCGGGGGCGGGGCGGGGCCCAGGCCGGAAAAGGGCGGGGCGGCGCTGACGTTTTAGGGCCGCGACCCCGCCCCCGGGCCCGTCCCGGTTGGCCGCGGCCGCCGCGCCCCGCCCCTGCCGGGGAAGACGCCCGGACGGAACCGATCGCGGCTGGTTTGAGCTGGTGCGTCGCCATGACGACACGCCGGCGCTATAAGTAGCGGCGCGGCGGCGCGGCGGGCTTTGTCAGAGCGCCCAGCCTCCGCCGCCGGCGCCCCTGCCTCAGCTCCGCGCCACTCGGCCGGCGGGCCCCGGAGAGCGAGGCGCGGGCGGCGGGCGGCGGACGGGCCTGCGCGGCGGCGCGGCGTCTCCATGGGGCCGGCCCGCGGCGGCCGCGCGCTCTGAGGTGAGGGGCGGCCCGGGGCGGCCACGTGTCGGGGCGGCGGGGTCGGGCACGTGGGCGGGGGCCGGGCGGAGCCGGCGGCGCGGCGCGGCAGGTGCAGGGCTGGCGCCGCGCTGGCCCGGCGGGGTCGGCGCTGCCGGGCCCCGGCGCCGCAGGTTCTTCTCGGCCCTTGCGGGGCGCGGGGCGGGCCCGGGAGAGGCGCCCCGGGTCGGGCCCTGCCGGGCCGGCGCGGCCCGTGTAAGCAGCCGCCGACCGGCCCCTGCGCGGCGCAGGCCCGCGGGGGCGGCCGGCGGCCTCGGGGAGCCCCGGGCGCGCCCGGAAAGGCTGGCGTTGCCCTGGGAGTCTGCGTGGCCGCCCGGCGGCGGGAGCGCACGCCGTGGAGGTGGCTGCGAGGACAAAGAACGTGCCGGCTTTGCCCAGACCGCGCAGCGGGCGTGAGCTCGTTGGCTCGTGACCTTTTTTCGGTTTTTCTCTCCCACCATTACCCGGCGGCAAAGAATTTCGTAGCAGAGAAGCCGCCCGGTGCTCCTGGGTTCGTCGTTTAAATGCCGGAGCCCGGCGCGGGTCCGGAGTGTGGGTGTGGAATGTCTCCACAGCGCACGTTTTTTAGACCTTTAAAAATTTAAGACACAGGAAAGCAAAATAACTTGGGGTGTGCGCGGTGTCTTCAAAGGGAAGAGCAGTGCTCCTCCAGTGTGAGCCTGAGCGTCGCCTTAAAGATAATTTACTGAGACCATAAATGGCCCACTCCGCCGCCTTCTGAGCCTATTTAGTGTTATTTTAGTAGGTAGATGGATTTGCTGGCAGTGCTACTCTTTTGCCTTCCCCCAGGGCTGATTTAGGCTCTGTGGGAGGCTGACAGTGCTAATCACATTACATCAAGACTTCCAACAAGTCCTGCCACGCATGGCTTTGGATTTATGGTGGGTCCGTCCCCCTGGGCCTCTCATAGTGTCCCATGCCAGAGCAAACTGTGACCCCGAACCATTGCCTGGTCTCCGCGCCAGTAGGCTTGTGCACTGAAGTGGGTTGCACAGTGAAGAAAGCCTTGCTCAGCAAGAAATTAAATAAGATAAAATCAATTTCAAGATAACTGTCATGCTTCATGAAGGCTAAGGACAGTGGCTCTGTCATGAGCTTGCTTTCTGCTTATTCATAATTCATTTGCGCTTGCTGCTTAGGTTGGCCAAAAAACAACTTCCGTGTGATTATCACGGAAATATTGGCTGCTTGTAAGGACTGCTAATTTGGTAGGCTACGCTGGTTCGGGAATGCTGCTTTCTGATCAGATGCAGCAGCTAAATAACAATGCATTATGTTAATTTGACAGTTTTGGGTTTTTTTATGTGCAGCATGAAAATTGGCTCGTAGGAGTTTCAGGAAACTGGAGAGCACTCGGTTAAGTGCCCTGGACATTCCTGAGACCTGCCAGTCTGTGTGTAACACTTCAGTGGAAGTAGGAAAGTGCGGGATGCTTTTACGGCAACCTTGAATCATTGTGCTGCTATTTTACACCTACTTGGTGAAATAGCGCTGAATAAAATGAACTGACCGTTATGAAACTTGTTCCATGTTGGTGAACTAAATGCAGAAAAACTTCTGAAAGCTGCATTTTGCTTTTTTTTTTTTTTTTTTTTTTTTTAAGCACAAATACTTGAAACGTTTGTTTTGAGATATGTGGCACTATATAGGGCGTTCTCGTGCGCTGCTTGGAGAAATGTGCGCGCACGCGCGGGCTCAGTGCCTGGTCTTTCGCTGTGAGGTGGTCTGAAGGTGGGCAGCAAACTATGTGTTTGTTTCTCAGATCTTTTCCACCGCTGCCCCCGCGTGCGCCTGTGTCCACAGCAGGGCTTGGAAGGCCTGGACGATTGCCGTTGTGAAGAGCTGGCAATAATATAAATTCCATCTCTTAGTTTTCCATGTAAGTATTCATGGTCGTCGTAGGTTTATCTGGTTAGGAAATACCACGTGTTGCTGATGGCTTCTGAGTAAGTTTCTCCACCCAACATGAAGTTTGTTGGTTTCAGAGGAACGTCCAGAAACCATGAACAGCTTTAGCAATGAAGAGTTTGACTGCCATTTCCTCGATGAAGGCTTTACTGCCAAGGACATTCTGGACCAAAAAATTAATGAAGTTTCTTCTTCTGTAAGTATCTGAAGGCCATGCCAGCAGCCCGGTGCCAGGCAGATGTGGGAAACTTTGGTGGAATCTGAAGGAAGTGTCATGGGTGGGACTTGTTGTTAGGGAACTTGACGGTCAGTGGACTGTAGGTCAGCCAGTGATGATGGTGAGATTCGTGTTGGGGCCTAAGGGTAGGATTTATTAAGAACCATGGGAACCAGTGGGCGGGGGCTAACGGGGCTGCTCCTGGCTGCAGGATGACAAGGACGCCTTCTATGTTGCCGACTTGGGAGACATTCTGAACAAACATCTGAGATGGTTAAAAACTCTTCCTCGGGTCACCCCTTTCTATGCCGTCAAGTGCAATGACAGCAGAACTGTAGTGAAAACCCTCGCTGCCACCGGGGCCGGATTTGACTGTGCCAGCAAGGTATGCACACGCCTCAGGACCCCGGGCTGGAGACTAACCTGGGGCTCCCAGCAGGGCGGGGCAGAGTCTTGTTCCTTGTGCATAGTGCCGACTCCCCTTGTCCTTTGTTGAGTCCATATAATGTAACCCCTCTTCTTTCTCAGACTGAAATACAGTTGGTGCAGGGTCTCGGGGTGCCTCCAGAGAGGATTATCTATGCAAATCCTTGTAAACAAGTGTCTCAGATTAAGTATGCGGCGAATAACGGAGTCCAGATGATGACCTTTGACAGTGAGGTGGAACTGATGAAAGTGGCCAGGGCACATCCAAAGGCAAAGTGAGTTCCTCCCTCTGAAGGCGGGTCAGCCGTGGGTCTGTAAGTCATGGAGCAGATTCAGCTTTTCCAGTGGCTGGATTTCTGTCCTTGAGTAGATTGTGTGCTGGGTCACACAAAGTAGGAAAGAGCTTCAACCCTCATGATTGGCGCATATTAAACTCAGGCTGACACTCACAGACTTAGGGCTGCTTTTTACTTGAACTCTTGGCCGTAAGTGATCTGTCGTGAGAAATGGAACGCGCTTTTTTTCTAGGTTGGTCTTGCGGATTGCCACGGATGATTCCAAAGCTATCTGTCGCCTCAGTGTTAAATTTGGTGCCACACTTAAAACCAGCAGGCTGCTTCTGGAACGGGCGAAGGAGCTAAATATTGACGTCATTGGTGTCAGGTGAGATCTTGGTGGTGGCTTAGTTCCAGACTAATATTAGACTTAAACAATGCGAAGTTTATAGCATTTTCTCCTGCTGTAAATAGTTGTTTTTGTAAACAGCGTCTTCTGTGTTTTTACCACAGCTTCCATGTGGGAAGCGGCTGCACGGATCCTGAGACCTTCGTGCAGGCCATCTCAGATGCCCGCTGTGTCTTTGACATGGGGGTGAGTGAGTCTATGAAAACCCCAGGAGGAGTCAGGTGGGGGCAGTGATGTGGTAGCTTACCTGGGGCAGGAGGCACCCCATGTTACAGAGGCTGGAAAATCCCCCTGCTGCACTTTCCATGACTTGTTCTGAGTCTGCCTGTTTGGTTGACTTAATTTTCTTGATTCTAGGCTGAGGTTGGCTTCAACATGTGTCTGCTTGACATTGGGGGTGGCTTTCCTGGATCTGAGGATGTAAAGCTTAAATTTGAAGAGGTAATTAATAACAAAACTATGGATACTGTAGCTATTTTAACAAGTTCCATTTTTGAATATTTCAAAACTGGAGTATGTTAATAGCAGCAGGGACCGTATGAACACACGAACAAATGCCTTGGTATATTTTAAATGACTTACGTGCTATTTAAAAATAGTATTTGATATCCTTTAGTTTTCTAAAGTAAGCATGAGTCAGTTTCCCAAAAGTCTTAGAAAACAGATGATCACATTAAGAAATGTTGCTGTGGACCGGGAGAATGTGCTGATTCTTAAGTGCGTCATTACCCAGTGTGCTTTGCTAGAATTTATACTCTTTATAACAGTTTATTAAGTCACAAAGTGAAGCCACTGTATGATGCTTAAATTTCCAAAATAGAAGCACACTCTTGTTTGCTGTGTGAGGTGGGCAGAGGTGCATGTCGTGGCATATGTTTGCTAAAAGTGTTTAGGTACCTTGACTGGTCATAACTGGAAATACATTGTTTGTGTTTTTGTTCAATAAAATGATGCAAAACGGGTAGAAAGGGTGTTGCGATGGGGTTGTTTGCTGCCTTGTATTGCTCCACGACAGCCCTCCACTTCAGCTCATGGGGTGTTCTGGCTGTGCCCCGTGTTTTCACGATGTCACATTCCAGAGCAGTCCCCAAGCCCTCTCCTGACCAACCGCTCCTGTCTCTCTTCCTCCAGATCACCGGTGTCATCAACCCAGCCCTGGACAAGTATTTTCCGGCAGACTCTGGAGTGCGGATCATCGCAGAGCCAGGCAGATACTATGTTGCATCTGCTTTCACGCTGGCTGTTAACATTATTGCCAAAAAACTTGTGTTGAAGGAGCAGACAGGCTCTGATGGTAGGTAGAAGGGATGAATTGTTGCACCTGTAACTAAAAGTGGACACTAGCAGTGGTAACTGGACTGATCTGCCTTTCCAGATGAAGATGAGTCAAGTGAACAGACCTTTATGTATTATGTGAATGATGGCGTCTACGGATCGTTTAATTGCATCCTTTATGATCATGCGCACGTGAAGCCCCTCCTGCAGAAGGTATCTTCTTTTTTTTTTTTTTTTTTTAAGATTTATTTTTATTTATTTATACAAGCACTGGGCACAGTCAGAAGCACAGGAGGGTGAGAGAATTCACAGAGCCAGAGCGGGGAGCAGAGCAGGCAGAAGGACCGAAGTACACTGCTGAGGGGAGCAGCGGGCGGCAGGAGAGGTCTGCGCGCCATGTGGGACCCTCCTCCGGTGGCCGGGGAACAGCCGGGGATCAAATAGGCGCTGCAGAGGCTGCGGGCAGCTTCGCAACCCAGCGCTCAACCGCTGCGCCACCGGGGAGGCCCCAGAAGGTATCTTCTGAACACACTGTGCTCACATCAAACCCGTGGGTCAGAACGAGTCTAACTGGGCGTGCCCTCCTTTCTCAACTGCAGAGACCCAAACCAGACGAGAAGTACTACTCCTCCAGCATATGGGGCCCGACCTGTGACGGCCTCGACCGCATCGTGGAGCGCTGTGAGCTGCCGGAAATGCACGTGGGTGATTGGATGCTCTTTGAAAACATGGGTGCGTACACCGTGGCTGCAGCTTCCACGTTCAACGGCTTCCAGAGGCCCACGATCTACTATGTGATGTCAGCGCCAAAGTGGTGAGTGGCGAGCGCCCGTTCATGGTCCTGAGGAGAAAAAAATGCCTCAGGATTATGCTTGCTCTTGGCTAGCTGAGTGGGAAGCTGTTTCGGCTAGGGCAAACACTCACGGTGCTGGTTTTCAAACTTTTTCCCCCATACTAAGTTTTTGTTCAGGAGATGGAGGGAGGGAAACCGCTGCAGGGGCACCCCTGCCTTTTTTCCTTCTGGGGGTTTCCCTGAAGTGTAACCATGTAGCACAGGCCCGCTCTGCATGTTTCTGTGTAACTAGACTCTGACAGGATGCCCCTGAGCGCGGCTTTCCGAATGCGTTGAATTGCTTCCTGCTGATGCAGGAACCGAGGACGCAGAGACTGGAGATTAAGGTGCTCTGGGGAACTGCCCGGCTGCGGCTGGCTCCGGGTTCCTGAACCTGCCCCTTCTGTCTCTGTCAGGCAACTGATGCAGCCGACCCCGAACCACGGCCTCCCCCCGGAGGCGGAGGAGCAGGACCCGAGCAGCTCGGTGCGGGTGTCCTGCGCCCAGGAGAGCGGGATAAAGCAGCCCCCGGCAGCCTGCGCGTCCGCTGGTATTAACGTGTAGGCATGCTCTGTAGCGCTTACCTGCGAGTTTAGCTGGAATTAAGGGATTCGGGGGACCATTTAACTTAACGACTGCTAGTTTTGAAATGTCTTTGTAAGTAGGGTTGGCACAGATGCAACAATATGGAAGACTAGGAGATGGGGTCACGCTTATCTGTGTTCCTATGGAAACTATTTGAATATTTGTTTTATATGGATTTTTATTCACTTCACACATGCTACTAAGAATGCCCCTCAGCTGCTGAGCAAGCGTTTGTAGCTTGCGCATTGGCAGAATGGGCCAAATGCCAAGTGTTGTGACCCGTTTTAAAAATAAAGTATCTTGAAATAATTAGGCATGGGAAATGTTTATCGTGTATCCATTCTAGATGGCTCATCTTGAATGTGTCTGAAGAGTGCTAATTGCTGTTGGTTCCTACAGGCTAAGAAGTGGTCCTGGAAGACGCGTAGGTAGGTTGCAGTCGCTTGAAAATCTGGAGACGGGCCTCCTTCCTGGTGGGCATTTTGTTTCAGGCGCCTGAGTCCCACGTCGAGTTTGCTGTGCATACTCACCACGGACAGTGGGTCCTGGCCCACGTGCAGGTAGAAGGAAACGCTTGTGCCTCTGCTACAGACAGTGGCTGCACTGGCTGGGTGGCCCTGGGTCCCCACCTGAGTGTCCAGAACCCTTGTCAGTAGGCCTGCTCTCTGCCCCCGCCATGCACAGTCTTAAGTCAGGTACATGGCGCTGCATTTGGCAGCAGCTTATTTGGCTGGAACAGGCTTCTGCATTGGAGCGCTTTGCCTTTCACTCTTACCTTGGCCACTGACTTTGTGTTCCCATGACTGCCTTGTTCTCTACTTTCCAAATGAGGGTGTAGACGAAACCCCTGAAATGAGATTTTTGAATCCTGCAGTGAGGAAGGCAGAGTCTCTGAAAGCCCAGAAGCCACCAGAGACCTAGCTGAAGTAGAAGGGGTGGCCCTCCAACTGGTGCCACCAGTACTGGAGCAGAGGCATGGGGGGTGGGGGTGGGGGTTGACTTCCTGTGTTCCTGGAAAGAGCCACCCTCCCCCAAGACTTGAGTCCCACGTGGCCAACCGTGCGCTTGCAATGACTTGCTGAAGTTGGCTCTTGGCTGCTCAGCTGGACTGAGACTTGGCTTGTCACCAACTCCGGTCTCCCTGGGTCTCCCAAGAATAGGGCTGGAGTTGCCAGAACATGAATAAGATTTCTCATGAACCACAAAGAAAGTAGGTTCCTCCTGGAGGAGTCATCGGAGGGACACCTGGCACGGAAGCAGCTTGGAGCCAGGTCAGCCCCGCTTCCACGAGCACGTCCGTTTCTGCTTGCACAGGGTTGGTGCCTGCTAGGCACGTTCAAGAGAAAGGCGTTGACAGGAGTACGTAGGCAGTGTCAGGAGACACAAGATGGACACTCAACCTAAAGTCTTGGTAAATGAAGTTTTCCACTTTAAAAAGGAAGGGGTGAGCAGGATCTCGGCAGTGTTTTGGCTGGGAGAGAGAGGAGGAGAGGTTTCTGCCCGGAGCAAATAGGGCTCACAAGGGCTCTTCTCAGCTTGGGGAAGTGCAGTCCAATCCCCATGCGTCCCACACCCCAGCCTCTGGCTGACCTCAGCTTGCTAAAGCCACTCGGGACCCCAAAGCTCCTGACCTCAGCTAGGCCAGGCCTCCTCCTGTGGGGTGTGCGCCTGGCCTGGGCAGGAGGACCCCTGGAGTGAGTTTGGGAGGATGGGGAGAAGAGAGGGACCTCTGGTGTGTGTGGATACTGTCCCCCCAGACCCTCAAGTCCTAGTTTGCGTGTGTATCTAATATCCCCAGCTCACTCCTTCGACCACAGTTAAGGCCAGGTAAAGTTTTCAGGCCACAAAACTAGCAGCAGAAAGCATGTGAGGTTAAAACGAGGGGTACCCAGGGAAAGAACACCCCCTGGGCAGCAGGGGCAGGGGACACACAGCATGGAGTCACAGAAACAAAAGCCTTGGAACTTGGTTTTCTAAACTCAAATGCCTGTGGCGCAGACTCACCTGGCAGATTGGCCCAGGTGGCGGCAGGCTCCCGGCGCGCCGGCGGGCGGTGGAGGGGGAAGCCCATGGCAGGGAGGGCATTTGGCAGGGTCAAACACCATCGTCTAACTCAGCAACTCGGCCCCGTACGCACATGCGCACGCTTGAGGAGGCACGGACAAGAACCGAGGTCTGAGGAGGGGAGAGACCAACCTCACATGCCCTTCACGCCACCACGTTGCTTATTGTAAAGGAATTCTGGGTTGGCTTGTTTTAAAAAACGACACCCCTTCACCCTCCCCCTCCTGCCCCTTTTCCTGCGGTACCTGCAACTTGGTTGTCAGCGCCCACTGGGTTACTTGTTCGGTTCTTCTTGCTTAATGTTAGCCTAGTAGACGAAACCCCCACTTGTCTTCCCGCGCCAGCTAGTGTCACAGCCACAGGGAGGGCGGGGGACACTCATCCGGCCCTGAGGTGGGGAGGCGGCTTCAGAGACAGGACGGAGACAGTCGGACATGAGGGTGGCCTGCTCCCTCCAGCTCCGCACCTGCAGGCGTCTCCGCTGGATAACTAGGAGCGTGGCCAGATTTAGCAAATAAAAATAAAAGCTACTGCAGGGCACATGCGTACTCTGGTGCTGCTCATCTGAAACTCCAAACGAACCGGGCAGCCCTGCTGACAAGGCCGCCAAGTCCTGGGCGCCAGGCACTGGCCTCAGCGCCTCCAAGCTCGCGGCCATGTTCTCTGGGCCGCCGTCTCCGCACCAGCCGGCTGGGCTGGGCTGGGCCCGGGCGCGCCCACCTGCTGGGAAGCCCAGGGCTGAGGGCCCTCCCGGCCGCGGCCAGCAGGGGGCAGCAGCGCCTCGTGGTTGAGGCTCCCGCACCCCCAGGCAGCCGCCACTCACCCTCAACAATACCGGACTGGGCCCCACCGTGATGGGACTAGGGGCTGGGGCAGGCGATGCCTGGCCGGGCGTCGGGGCTTTGGCACGGCCTCAGCATCCTCGTCCCCAAACGGATCCTGAGCCCCCGCCGGGAAAACCCACCCCCAAGCTGGCCCTCTCCCCCCGCCTCCCCTTGCCGGGAGAGCTCTGAGCAGCTGGTGGGTCTCTGCGGCCTGTGCGCTTGCTGAGCCTCGTCTGGGCAGAGCGGGCATCACCCAGCCACCTCCCGAGGGGCCCACTCGCCTGGTAACCCTGCTGCCGCCCTTCTTACCTGGGCGCTGGCCACGCCTGCACCAGCCTTGGCTGTGGCTGACCCTGGCTCCCCACTGAAGAGTAGGTGGTGTGGGGCGCGAAGGGTGTCCTCCCCGTTCCCGGGTCCCCACCGAGCCAGCCCGGCAGGCCCGCCCAGGGTCACGTGACCCGTTTGTGGCCACCCTGCGGCTTGCACTGCCCCTCTGCATCCAGGGCCGCGTCAGGCCCATCCAGGCAGCAGGCTGGGCCCGCGCCCGCTCAGGCATCGCCCACTGATTGACTCATCCCAATAGCCCGCTCAGCTGGGCCGGGGTCTGGGTAAAGGCCGCGGGAAGTGAGCGACGAGGGAGATACACCTGATGGGGGGCGGGCCGGGGCCTGCTGTGTGGGTCAGCACAAGCTCAAGGGGGCCACGATACCCAGGGTGGGGACGGGAGCAGGGTGGGTGCCCGACGGCTGGGCTGGGCTGGGCTAAGAGCCAGGACCCCCCCCCACCCCATCTACCTGGAGTCGCCCCTCAAGCAGCGCCGGACCCAGTTGCCGCCTACCTGCTGACAGGCCGGGATGCACCGACCCGTGGCGCTGCTTCTGCAGAGGCTGTGCGGGGTGTGGGCGCGATACCCCCACACGGACAGACACGCCGCAGACTGGAGCCCAAGTCCCACGAGCCCACAGTCAGCACAGACCTCGCCCTCGCCCTCCAAACACGCATGCGCACCCCCGCCTTGCCATTCTGTGGCAATTGGACCCACCTGGCCCAGCTCCCCACCCCCACCGCCTGGAGGGCGCTCGTGGGGCTGGTGCTGTGGGTACCCATTAGCACGCAGCTTTGGTGGCACTGCTGGCCCAGAGGGCACTTGGCAGGGGAGGCTCATTTCTAGGCACGGAGCCGTAAGCGACGCTGTGCTGACTAAAAGTGAACAGCCAGGGTCCCTGAGCCCTGCTGTGAGGCCCGCGGTGCCACAAGCTCTGCCCACTCAGCCTCACCACCGGGCCGGAGCTTCCCGCAGGTGGAGACTCAGGCTCACTGAGCTGCTGCAGCCGGGGCAGGGCCGCAGCCCCGTGGGTGCCCAGACCCCCGACCTCATCCCCCCTCCCTGGAGGAAGGGGCACCTCCCCGCTGCAGCCAAGGCACTGGCCTGGGTGTCAGCGAATGAGAGGTGAGGCTGTGGGGGAGACTTCCGGAAAGTTCTCCTCGGAAGAACAGAACGCAGGGCTCCTTCTCGTCCTGACTGTGACCTGCTCCCGGTTCTGCCCAGGAACAGTCATGACTACGGGGGACTCCAAGGTGACAGGTGTGAGGACAGACGAGGCCCATGAGGCCGGGGGCAACCATGGGGAGCTGGCCAGAATGTGGGGGTCCCGGCGACGCCCCCGGACTGCTGAATCAGGCAGGCAGACAAGGGGCTGGGCTCCAGGCAGGACACGCAGCTCCCTCTCGGTGCAGCACCTGCTGGGTTTCCGCAGCTGGGACCGCAAGCTGGTGCCCAAGCCGGTGCCCTGCCCGCCTCCCGCTGGCCATGTGTAGTCCTGCGGGGGAGGGGGAGCAGGGAGGCCGGGAGGCCACAGAGGCGGACAGTCAGGCCTGCCAGCACCGGTCGTCTCCAACGTCCACAAATAATCCGGCTCTGAGTAGATCCTGACTACTGACCGGCAGTTCACAGACACAGAGCGGGCCCGGGGGTGCAGGAGACCCCAAATTTACAAAGAGGGTCTTTGTGGGGCACAGAAACCACACAAAACTCAGAGAATTTGGTTTATTTGATCATTGTAGTACAAGAAATGCCAGACCAATCAACAGGGACGACAGACCTCACACGGCTGCGTGTGCTCGCGACGTGGGCGGGCGGGGGCCGCGGCTCGGCTCGCATGCATTCCCCGGACACGGCGGCTGCGCGCGGAACCACGAGTAGCCAGGCTCGGAGGGGTCACGGCCACGAGGGAACCACGCTTCAGGCAGTCAAGGCATTAAATACAGGACCTACACGTCACATGTCACTTCACCAGACGCACAATTTAGATATGGAAGGGGCACGGCGGGCGGGCGCGGCTGCGGTCGAGACGACGGGCTGGGCGGGCCATGCACGGGGAGGGCCTGCCTGTCTACGCTCCCTCCGTCCCTGTCCCCACCTTTCCCAAAGAGTCACCTGTGATCACAAAATAAATTAGCTGGCCTCGGTGCCATCCGAGACAGTCCCTCCGGGGTCCTCGACGCTGCTCTGGGCCCCTGCGGGCGGGGGTGCCCGGGAGCCCTGCGTGTAAACATCCCCGGGAGTGGCCCTGGGGGGTGTCCGGGAGGGGGTGGAGGGGCACGCAGCCGGCCGGGCGGGCACGGGTGGCCCAGGGCCAGGAATGACGGAGGAGGCATCCACTTTTGCAAGCAAAGCTTAAACGGCAAGATAAGCCTGTGTTTCTCGGCGACTGTCCAGAGGCCTGAGCCCTCAGAACTGACTGGCGCTGCTGGGGTCACACTGCAGCAACCGGACGATGGAGGGGTCGCTCTTGGCACCTTTGATGAATTCTTCCAGGGACAGCTTACCTGCAGAGGGAGGACAGGAGAAAGGGGAGCTGCCACACCCCAGGACGACACGCCCAGGCCCACAGGAGACGCTCTCTGACCCGGGGCACGGCTCCACGGTCACCCGCAACCTGGAAGCCGGAAGGGTGGGGGTGCAGGTGAGGAAGCCCTGCGGGCAGCTGGGGTGCTGTGCTAAGAGCTTCCTGGGCACCATCTCACTGAATCCTCACAATCCTGCTGATTATATTATCCCCACTTCTCAGAGGAGTGAACGGAGGCCCCGGAGAGTCAACACTCAGTGCAGGAGCCCGCAGCCTTGCCCCACTGGGGGTGGTGACGTGCTAAACGGGCCCAGGCCACGACGGGACGCTGTCTCGTGTTGCGCATCTGCAGACTGTCGGGTGGGCTTTCCGCTGCTTGAGGCCACACGGCCAGCCTCCCCCCGCGCTCCTGGGTCAGGAGGGCCCATCCCCAGCCAGAAGGAGGTTCTCCCTCCACACAGCTGCACCTGGTTCTCCCTCCACACAGCTGCACCTGTCAGCAGGGCCTGGGTGGGTGGGGCGCAGAGGGAGGGGAGCACCCCAAACACACAGCCTTGCGCCCAGCCGCCTGCGCACCACCACCGCCTACCGTCGTTGTTGGTGTCCATCTGTCTGAAGATCTTGTCTGTCCGCTTCTCCGGAGTGGACTCGTCCTCTGGCATCTTCATCACGGAGGACACCATTTTGTAAATAGCCTGCGGAGGGGCCCAGAGAAGACTATGCTCAGAGATTCTGGAATATTCCCCAGCGGGTGGGGCCTGGGTGTGAGCCTCTGCCCAGCCTGGAGGACCCTTCCCGGGCTGGAATGTTCCCGGCTCGCCGAAATGACTTGGAAGAATATCACAGATGGCAGGGGGTGAAAAAGGAAGCTCAAGAGGGTGAAAAGTGACTCCAGTGTGAAGGGGTGACGCTGGAGGGAGAGCTGGGGGGTGCTGGGAGGGCTCCACAGCTCCTGAGAGTGGGGTGACCTGGGTCCCCACACGTAGAACCCTTTACGCTGCATGTGCTGGGGGCATTCCACGTCGTGGCTTTACACCTCCCTTAAAAACAAGAACACTCAGCCTCGGAGACCCAGCAGGCGAACCCCATAACCACCAGGGCCAGGACTGACAACTGACCAGAGCCCCCGACCTGTAGGGTTCATTCTCCCGGCGTGAGCAGCCCCCGGGGAGGGGGTGGGCGCTCCACAGGCCGCAGCTGCTGCCCTTTGCTCAACTCTCAGCTCCGAATTCCTCACTGCAGAGCGCACCTCTTCTGGGGGTTCCAGAACAAAGCCCCCCCTGCGCCCCTGCACCGGGCCAGGCAGCTCTGTGTTCTCGGCTCTTGCACCTGACAAGGCCAGAAACTTGTATTCACCCCCCGCCCCGGGAAAACAGCCTGACCTGCCTGAGCTGCCGACAGATAGTGGGGAATGGGAGCCCCCTAAAAGGGGGCACCAGCCCTGTTAGGTCCCAGCGGCAAGCTGCCCAAAGCGCACAGGAGAGGGGCCGGCAGAGACTGGCCGCGGGGTGCCCCGCCCCGGCCCGCGCGCCCCGCGGCCGCACCTGCACGATCTCCAGCATCTCGCTGCGGCTGATGTAGCCGTTGCCGTCCAGGTCGTACATGCTGAAGGCCCACTTGAGCTTCTGCTCCAGCTTGCCCCGCGAGGTCACGCTCAGCGCGATGATGAACTCCCGGAAGTCGATGGTGCCGTCGCCGTTGGTGTCGAAGGTGCGGAAGACGTGCTCGGCGAACTTGGAGGCGTCGCCGTAGGGGAAGAAGTTGGCGTAGATCTTCTTGAACTCGTCCACGGTCAGGTGGCCGGTGGGGCAGTCCTTGAGGAAGCCCTTGTACCACTCCTGCAGCTCGTGGTCCGTGAACTCCGTGTTCTCCCGCAGGTCCTGCAGCACCTCGGGCCGCAGCTTGCTGTTCTGCTTGCCCATGGCGGCCGGCAGCAGCTGCACCTGCAAGGCAGGAGGTCAGCCAGGAGGCGGCGGCGGGCCTGGCTCCCCGCCGACACCGCCGAGCGGGCCCAGACGTATCCCTGCTGCCCAAAGGCCACCCCAGATCCCAGGTGTCCCGGCCTGTCCAGGACCTAAAAAGTGACAGGAAGAGGGGAGTCGCAAGGGGGAATCATTAACCCTCACGAGGGGCAGGGCAGCTGGCCCAGGAAGAAGGCGTGTAGGACAGACGTGAAGGAGAACCATTTCCAAGGCGGCTGGTGGCTCAAACTCACACAGGCCTCCTCTGGGGAGCACAGGGCAGGCTCCCAGAGGGGGAAATATGCGGGGGTCACACCTGGCCAGGCTGGGAGGAGGCAAAGAAAGATCTCCGCTTCAGAGACAGGGACTGCGGCTCGGGGGGGACCTGCTTGTCCGTGCCGGGCGGGCTGTGCCAAGGGGCCGAGCAGGACGCGTTCCTGGCAGCTGTGCTCTGAGCCCCGCTCGGCGGCACAGTCCATCGTGGGCAGCGGTGGAGGCGCCGCGTGCTCCCAGCTGGCGTCCATCTTGGCGCCCTCCCCGCTAACCCGCTCACCAGGAGGGTCTGACAAGATCTCACTGAGAGTTTCATGACGCGTGGCGTGAGGCCAGGAAAGCCAAGTAAAGCCAGAGCCCCCAGCCCGCTCCTGGGCCCTCCCGCGGCGTCCGGCGCGCGCTCCCCTGGGTCTAGGGGAGGCAGCTCCCCCTGGAGCCTCTCGCTCCCGACACAGGCGACCTGGCAGGGGCATCCGGGGCGGAGCACGGCGCCCGCAGCCACCTCTGCTGCTGATGAAGCCAGTGAGCGACCTCCCCGACGACCGGCAGGCTGGGGAGGCAGCGGATGAAAAGCCGTCCTTGCTGCGAAGACCGGGAGGCCCCCGCGCCGAGCTCCCGGGCGAACACCGGCCTCCATGCGCCAGAAAATCTCACGTGCATCCTCAGGGAGAGGTGGGGTGAGGCCGGGCGTGCGGGGAGGGGGGGCACCCCGTTCTGGGCTGGCGTCATCTCCCCTTTGGCTAAAAAGGCCTCCAGTCCGAGCAGGGCTTGGACAGGCAAGGAACAGCCTCTCGGGAGTGTCAAAGATGACATTTTCATTCACGGCAATGGGCGAGCCGGGGAGGAGGTCCACGGGCGCCCCCGTTCCCCTCGGGGTCTGGCCACTCGGGGGGTGTTCTGAATGCGCTGAAGTGCTTTTTAAAATGTAAACATGTGGCTGGGAGCCCCGTGCAAATACTTAACCCAAGAGTCAGTACTTCCTGCAAAGTAAAGCCTTCTTCACGGCACGGCTCTCGGCTCCTTGGTGCAGCTCCCAGAACCAGAACCTTCCACCCATCGCAGCTCGAGGCGGCTGACGGCCGGGTCGCCCTTTCATCCCATCGCCCTCAGCGCCTGCCTGGAGCCGGCGCCCGGAAGCTCGCGGGGCGGCGGACTCGGAGACTCGGTGGGAGGGGAAGGCAAGCAGCAGAGGCCAGGGCTCGGGCTGCGGCTGGAGGGGACGCGGCTCAGGCTGCTCAAGATTCAGGGGCTCGTTCTGAGGCGGGAGCACTCGTTGGGCCTGGGGTGGAACAGGACAGCGCGGGCAGCAGGGGCCAGTGGGCAACTGTGCTGTTTCTCAGGGAGCACCAGAGCCGGTTCCTTCTGGTGGCCGCCCACAAATGCTCCTCCCTGCGGCCAAGTCCCTGTCCTGGGGAGGGGAGGAGCTGGCGGAGGTGAGAGCAGCAGCAGCCTGCAGCCTTGGCTTCCAGTGTAGCTGCTCCTAGGAGAGGCCGTCCCCGCCCGGGGCTGAGGTGCCTCCCAGGACCCACAAGGTGCTAACACCAGGCCTGAGGCCGGCTCCGCCCTGGGGCAGCTCAGGCTGCAGTGCAGCTGGGCGGACACTAGAGGGCGAGATTGGACCGGCTCCCCAGGACCTGCGAGCAAGACCCCAATCCTGGCTTCCGGATTCCGCCCCTACCTTGCCTCAGTTCCTCAGTTTCTCCATCTCGAAGCCAGATTTGTCCAATAAGGTAACTAACTATCAGCCACTGAGCACTTAAAATGAGGGTGAATCTGTAAATATGCCTTAAGTGTAGCATAAACACTGGACTTTGAGACTTCGGAAGAAAATTTGATATAGAGCATCTTAACAGTTCTTCTATCTTTGCATATAAAATTGCATATCAAATATTAAATGCTACCAATGGAGATACAACAGGTTAAAATAACTGTGTCAACATCGATCTCCCCTGGAAAAGTTTAACCATGTCTGTGTGTGGCTCACGTAGTATTTCTAGTGTCTGCTCTGTCCTGGGCAGATTCTGGGGGCACTGTGGGTCTGGGGCCACCAAGCAGGGACTCTTCGAGTTCATGAGCGCCCTGTCAACAGGCCCACTGCTGACTGGAGCCCAGGGGGAGCGTGGCCTTTGTTTATGTCACTCCTTAGTGGCCTTGAGTGAAAGATCATGGTGTTTACATCTCCCAGTTGCACGTGAGTGCCTCGTTTCTATTTGCAGCAGCTTCTGCCTCTCCACTAGAGGTCAGCTACCATAGAGACTCAGGCTGGTCCCACTAAGTATGGGGAGGGGCAGCTGCAGAGGGGGGAATGGGGTGCCTCTCCTCCGGGGAAGAGGTCGGCCAGTAAGCCCTGCTGCCCAGTCACAGGGTGTGTGGGGAGATTTGAATCATCCCCCCGACGGCAGGGCCACTTCCGGGGAGCTTCCCGAAACCTGTTGCATCAGGGTTTTACCAGCTGGATGGGCTCCACCCAGTGACCTTGCTTGAGAAGCCCGAGGAACACTCCTGATTTCCGCACCCAGCAGCTTCAAATCCCCAACCTTAGGGGAAATAAATAAAAGGAAGGAGGGGCAGGGAGGCAGGCCAAGCCAGCCACTGAAATCCCTTCCCTATCTTAAGTCATCCTGTTTCCACTCCCCAGAGGCTGCAACGCCCTCCGTGAAACTGGAGAAAGAAAAAAAGGGAAATCCCAAGAGAATGTTCTTTCCCTTGTAGAAACTGCTAATGCGACAGGAAGGGGCATCACGGTGGGGGGCTCTCCCTTCACACCTGTACCTCTGCCTGTTCATCCATGTGGCTCCTCACCCCAGCTGGCCGGCAAACTCCTACTCATCCACCAAAGCCCAACTCAAAAGTCACCTCCTTGGGGAAGCATTTCTCAGCTCTTCTGCAACTACAATTTCTCTCTCCTTTGCACACGAATTCCAGTGTTAGATCTACCCTAGCACACCCCAACTTCTATTATATCATTGACTTGTGTCTTTCCCTCATTAGACTGTGAGCTCTTGAGGAAAGAAAACACCTCATTCATGCCCACAGGAGAGCCTGCTGGACCCATCTGCTCTGCCTTGTCCTCAGGATCTGCCAAGCACACGCCCAACACCGCGTCTTTGTGACTCTCTGGGGAACACCTCCTCTGAGGGCCCCTCACAAGCAGTGTTCGCCCTCATGCCTGAGTCCCTATCCTACTCCTTTCCTTAGCATGTGCCACTACTTGGCGTGGTGCCACGCTAGTGTAGTTACTGTCTGCCTCCTCTCGCCAGCCACTGTACCCCCCAGCGCCCAGAGCAGGCTGGACAGTCGGTGCTCAGTCAGTGTATTGGAAATAATGGCTGTGGCCGTGCGTCCCAAAAGCCAGGAGCTGGGATGGCTGGACAGACGGAGTGAGCGCGTTTCTTCTCGGACCCTCTCCTCTGCGGTATCAGGGACACAGGAAGGAACAGCAGGATTAGGGTGGCAAAGTGCCAGGTTTGATGCTCCAAGAAGGGACATCCGGTAATTCAGACTCGGTGTTCTGGAAATTTCCATTTCCCGGCCCAGGAACAGCTGCACCAGAGTGGAGGGCCTGGGGCAGGTCAGATTCCAGGCCCCTTCTCCAACCAGTGCCCTCTTCTCCCTCCCCCTGGGGATCACCCTGACTGTGTGGCCCCACAGGGTTCCCTGTGGCCTCCAGCTGGGCTGGCTCATGGTGTGGCCTCGCCAGGGGACCCACGTCACTGCCACCCAGGGGGACGCGCCGAGCTACTCCCGCGGCGGAAGGTAATCAGTGGAGCCGACATAAAAGAGTGTCCGGGGAGAGAACTGGCAGGCAAAGAAAGAGAAATTGCCAATAGAACAATCTCCCATGGAGGGAGCACCAAGCCAGGCCAGGTGACTTTCCTTAAAGCTGGAACCCACGTCTGTCCATGCACACACCAGCCCAGCACCCCACAGCCCTGGGAGGCTCCTGGCCTCCACCGCAGGGCAGCCTTCTGCCCTGCTCTGAATGCAAATTTGGGGGTGGCAGATCCCCAAACGCCAGGCTGAAGTGGGGCGTAAAGTCCCTGAATCTGTCCCCTCACACCCTCTCTGGGCCAGGTGGGGGAGCACCTCAATGAAAAACCACCAAGACTCCCCCCAGGTGCCCACGGTGCCCCCACCTGCATAAAACAAGGAGCGAGGTGCGGACCAAGGTTTACTCACAGCCCGGGGGGTGGCCTGTCTCCAGGAGAGCTCTGAGTCGCCGCTAGGTGCCCGAGTTCCCCAGCTGGGCAGGCAAAGGGACGGGTGTGCCAGGGCGAGGCGGCTGGGGCAGGAGCCACGCAGCCATGGGGGCTGGGACGCGAGTGGAGGACATGACTGGAGACGGTGCCAAGAATGTAAGGCCTGTTGCGGGGGGGTGGGGGGGGATGGTCCGGGAGAGAAACCAGAGGGGGCAGAAAGGGTGGGCTCACAGGGCCCCACCTCCCCCCCAAACGCCTGAGCTCCATGAAAGCACTGGGCGCCCCAGGGCCTTGACCACAGTCAAGAGGAGCAGAAAAACATGAAGCCAACAATCTTGTGAGTCGCCCACTGTCTCCTCTCTCGGCCCTGGAGCCGGGCGCTGCTGACAGGGTGGGGGTGTCTGGGCCGGAGCTAGCCTGTCCAGAGATCTGCCCGGGGAAGGGGCCACTCGTCCAACTCAGCTGTGCTTATTATGCGCGTAGATTTGGGGCACCGGCCCCCGACACCTGGGAGCCAATCCTTCTGGCCGCTGGTGCCTGGCGGCCCTGACCGGCCTGCGTGAGAGTTGTCGGGAAGTGCAGAGTGAGCCTGAGTCCATGGGGCACTCCTGGCCCAGACGGGCACCGAGGGAACCGAGACTAGGGGGCAGCGCCCAACCCACTCTGTGGGGGACCCATGTAGAAGGGGAGCTCTTGGGGGACACCAAGCCAGACCCTGGAGTCAGGGAGCTCTCCATCTCAACACCCCAGAACAAGCCTCTGTTTGGTCCTCTGGAAGATGGGGCTGGAATGCAGGCTTTGGGGATGACAGGTGGGTCGGGGTGGTGGTTATGGATATAGGGGCCCCCAGTGGGCAGCAGGCACACAGTAGAAGGCCCACCAGGGTCACATCCAGGCCCCCCATGATCTTGGCTATATCTCAAGGTCTCTGGGCCTCAGTTTCCTTGGCTGTAACAGGGAAATAACACCCGCTGGTTTCGCTGCATCCCTGAGAGGACTAAGGAAAATGAGGGCTGTCAAAGGGGCCTGTTAAATCACAAGCCAACAGAGCCAGGAGGGAGGCTGGGGCTGCAGCCTGGGAGTGGTTGTGGGGTGTAGGGGGGTTCCTGCACCCCCAGCAAGCCCCTTGTCCCCGCCACACAGCTCTGGGCCTGCCGCCCCACCAGGCACCTCGAGCAGTCACAGGACAGCATGGAACAAGCAGAACGGACAGATTCACAAAGGTAGGGTGTGGGGAGCCCAGCAGCCACGGAAAAGAAGAAAAAGCACCTCCAAAGCCTAGGCGGCGAGACCAAGTGCTCCAAGGACAGCCCAAACCTGTGACGCCTGAGTCACAAGTACCGTTACCAGCACACCTGCCGCGCCCCCTCCGAGCCCGGCTGTCACGCGCCTCACTTCCCTCGTCTGTAAACACGCGTGTGGACGACGGGACCCGGGGCCCGGTCCAGGCCCGAAGCCTGTCTCCGAGCCCCTCCCGAGCTCCCCAGCACTAAGAAGCTGTTGCCTTGGCTGGGATCCGTGTCCCTGCCTCAGAGTTTGGCTGGCAGGCCTCTTGCTTAGCTCTTTTCCCAGTGGATGGCACGAAGAGAAACTTCTGCCAGGTCCCTGCGTGAGTGATGACTAAATTCTCAATCCACGGGCCCTGAATGAATGAGGTTTGGCCAAGATGCTAAGAAACCGTGGGGGAAACTGTGAGAGGAGACGTCGCTGTAAATGCCAGACTTCAGGGGTGTTTGCAGACATGGTGCCCCCCCAGCGCCCCGTGCACCCTGACAAGGCCCTCGGCTGCACCAGATCGGCTGGGCCGGAATGGGGGGCTGCTGGCCACAGGGAGGCGGCCTGGCACTGCGCCCCCCTCAGCTCGCCCGCCGATCCAAATTTTTTTTTTGTTTTTTAAATCTGGATGAAAACTGCCAGTGAATCATCTCATATGTTATTTGATTCATGTTTAATGTCTTTGGGAAGAAATAAAAACAGTAAGTCATTCTTAATAAAAATGGCCTCAGCTACAATACAGGCGCCTGGATGGTGCCATCCCAGGTGCCCCGGGGGCCCCAGCGGCTGCGGTCGGGAGCTGTCGCTGGTATGTTGAGAATCCGGGCGAGCACAGCACACAGAGCTGCCCGGTGCCGATTTTATTTCTTTAAATCACACCCCTGAAGCCATCGATGCTGTAGGGGGAGCTGGGGCACGCATGCTCACGCGTAGGGGACACCCGCTACGTGGAGTCAGTGCTGAGTGTTGGGGGGCAGCCTCGGCACCCTCAGGGTGCTTCCGGTACAGCTGGGAAGGCAGGTATGAGCTCCTTAGCCCCGTCTCCTGCACCCCATTAGCTCTAAGCCAGAGCTGACCATTCACCCAGGACGTGGTCGGGCTCACCGCCCCGCCAGCCCCCGGCCCCTGAAAGGCTGGCAGGCCCTGAGGAGCAGGCAGGAGCAAGAAGGCCGCTAGGGCGGGCGCCCCTCCCACGCAGCTGAGGCCTGTGCGAGGCCAGGGGTCTCCCGGGGCTGTGGCCCGTGGGGGTCCGGGTGGCCTTCAGAACCAGCCCCCCAGCCTCACCCCACCCAGGTCTCTGAACTTCCCATCAGACATTTTCCAACCCCTCTCGCTCCCGACGTGGGTGTTAGTGTTTCCCTGCGACCCGAGGTCCCGGCAACAGCCCAGAGCGCGCCCTTGAGAGTCCCAGTCAGCACTTCCAAGCTACACATTTGCACCTGGGATCTGACAAATCCGAGAACATTCAAGGGCCAGTGCACAAAATGAGGAATTTGACCATCTGCTAAGATCGCGCTGGACGCCTGGGGAAGCCAGGAGCCACCTGAGCCCGGCCACGGGGGAGCCGTGGGGGCTCAGCCCAGGCTCGGGCCCAGCCCCGGCGCCAGCAGGCGGGAGATCTCGGGGCTTGGCTTGGTGATTCATTCACTGTTTGGGCAGCTGCTCCCTCTGCCCACCACGAGCACTGAGGAAAGAGTGAGTGGCAGTGACCACCTGCCTTCGACATCTGCCTTTCCTCTCCCCCTCCCCCGGGAGGTGAGTCCAGGCCGGGGTTCCATGTCTCTGGGCAGGAAGTCCCCTGCCTGGTGCTGGTGCCCTGCAGATGGGCAGGACACGGTCCTGGGCCCGCCATGGACTCAGCAGCCTCCGAGAACGCCCGGCCACACCAGCGCCCGCTGTGCGTGTGAGCGCGTGAGCCACGGTGCTCTCTTGCAGCATCGCCCCGCAGCTGGGGCTGAAGGAGGGGACACCCGGAGGGTTGATACCGCCAAGTCATCCCGAGGCACAAAAATAACCTCAACTCGCAGCCAGGGCAGGACCCTCCCTTTCCTGGGGCCGACCGCGCAACCGCAGCCGTCGCTTCCTGGCAGGCTGCTCGGGGAGCACCAGCGGGCGGTCCCCCACCTGGGGCCTGCAGACCAGGCAACACCTTGGGGTGCAGGCCCAACACCCAGGGGCAGGGTTAGCCCAGACCATGCTCTCCGGGCCTGCTCCGCGGAACCCAGATCTCCTCACAGGGGTTAATCTCACAGAAGAACTGCGGTCGGTTGAGCAAATCTCCATGGGCAACGATTATCTTGGAGGTGTACGAGGCCTCGCTATTTAAAGGACCCACAAGGCCCAGCAGGTCTGAGTACGTCCCGGCTGCCCTGGGGCGCTGCTCATCACCTGTTTTGCTCTTTGGTTTTGTGCTGCGGGTGGGCAGAGAGGGGGCTGCTGGGAACACACCCTGTGGCCCATCCCTGGGGAGACAGGTGGGGCAAAGGGACTTCCCATTTATTGTCATCTGGCCCCGGACATCATGCCAAGGGCGTTTATGTGCCGGAAGTGCCAGCTGACCGCTGGCGCAGGGCAGGAGGGCCAGCGGCTAACAGGGCAGGGTCAAGGGAGGAAGAGGAAGAGGCTGGAAGGGGAGCGGTGGGCGGCAGGCTTCCCTGGCCTGGGCCGCGCGGGACACTAGTCTGAGCCGTATCTTGCAGCCCCAGAGAGGGAGGGCCGGCCGACCCTCCGACGGACGGCACTTGGGAGAGGCTGGTGGCCTAGCGGGTCCCGAGCGCACAAATCCAAGGTCAGAGGCCGTTCTCTCACCCGCCACCCGGTTCCTCCTTAGAACAGAACCAAACACCCAGGAGGAGAGCGCTGGCTTCTCACCCACGGAGGCACCGCTGTGTCGGGGCAGCCGCAGGCAGGGCGGTGAGAGTCGCCCAGAAGCCCGGCGGGGTCCTCCGGAGGGCAGACGGGCGACCGGCCCAGCCCCGGGGTTCCGGAAACCAGCAGCAGATCCCCTGGCAGGGGTGCGGGACGGCGGGAGTGGGCCAGGATAGCACAGGGGCGTGGGCCAGGCAGAGGGCACCGCTGGGGAGAGACTCGGGGCTGGACGACATCGTGGCGCTCAGCGGGCCAGAAGGCGGGAGGTGCTGGGGTCAGACCTGGCCGAGAGGCGCCCGCTCCAGACTCTGCCCTCAGCTGCGAGCTGCGACAGCAGCGGCTCCCGGCGGGCACCGGCAGGGTCCAGGCAGGCAGGGAGGGGCCTGACCGCAGCCAGGCCCGGGCAGGGGGTGCCGAGGGACCGAGTGGGACAGAGGCAGGGAGCAGGGGACTTAGGGAAGAGTTCGGGGTGACAGGCAGATGTGGGGAATGGGACAACACTCTGGCTTCTGGGACGGGGGGATGTGGGGTCAATGCCCGGAGGGGATCTGGGTGGAGAATCAACTGGGGGCAGGAAGGAGGAAGAGGACAAGGAGGGGAGAAGGAAACAGTGGTTTGGGGGCGAAGGGCCTCTGTTTACCCAGGTGGGGTCCTGTGGGAAGACCCAGGGCTGTAGGATGAGAGCTGGGGAGCACGGGGTCCTGACCACACCCCACCAAGGCAGCTGGGGTGGGGGGTGGACAGGAAGGAAGATTCCAGGTACAGGTGGCGGGGGCTGGGGCTTCACGAGAGCAGGAGAGAAACACAGAATTTCCATTTTACCCTCCCTCCCGGCATCCCTCTCAGCGTGGACCCCAGATTCTGCTGCGTGTTCTAAGTCCCTCCCTGACACCCCCCCACTCAAGCAAAGAGGTCGAATGACTTGCCCTGAGAGACCTGCTAATTCAGGGTGAGACCTGGGCCCACATGGGGGTTCCTAGCATCTCAAGGGTCAGGGTCCCGCCCTGCGTCACCGGCCACACAGGCAGGACCCCGCAGCGTGGCAGAGGGAGCCTCCATCCGGTCCTCACCGCCCCCTCCACCTCCAGACCCATCGGGCCTCTCAGTGGGACTTACCTAAGGACACGGGGGGGCAGAGATGGAGCAGGGGTCAGAACCTCGGGGCTGGCTCTGCGTCCTCGATGGGGTCTCTAGACCATGCCCTGCAAGAGAGGACCACAGGTGATGCGGCCGTGGACACCGCCACTGCCTCGCGCGCCCCCGTGTCTGCTGGGGTCCCAGGGACTGAGAGCCCCGGACAGCGCACACCCCGGCCCCCGCCCCGCAGCTGTTAGGCACAGCATAGGCCCGGCCCCTGCCCCCGGGGTGCGAGGCCTCCAGAACCCTGGGCGCAGAAGCCTCCACGAGACACTGGCCACTGGCCCAGATCCAGAGCCATGCTCTCCTGTTTCCCCAACGCTCCCCGGGGAGGGGCCCTCATCCTCCCAGGCCTCCCCTGGACGCGCCCCACCCCCAGCCCAGGGCAGATACCACCCACGGGGCTCAGGTGACCAGGGCAGGCAGAGTCTATCAGCAGCGGCACACGGTCATGGAGAGGAGCATCAGGGGTCCCGCCACTCCCCAGTCACCCCCACCAGCTCCTGGGCAAGCATCCTGCACGTTCCCCGTGCCGGGCTAACCATCAGGGGCTCCCCCTTCACCCACTCTGTGACCCCGCAGCATCTGCACGGGCTGGGACGTGACGTGTGACTCTAATACCCTTGTGGCTCCCCCCGCGTGGACGGTGCAGGCGAAACACACGCTGTTTGCTTTAGCACAACCCCCCAACAGCTCTGTGAGGTGCGATGATTATCGCCCCATTTTACAGACGGGAAAATGCACTTCTAGGGAAGCTGACTGCAGCTCAAGGGCACGTATCTGTATCTGCCGGGTGGCAGAGCAGGATGGAGCCCAGGCGGCCAGTCCCCCCAGCACGCCTCCCCCGCCCCGCCCTGTCGGCTCCTTCCCGTGCTGGGCGCTCCCGGGAGCTTCTCCTCCCAAGTCACACACGTCCCCAGTCACTCTCCTCCACAGCCTCTCCCCTGCCGATAGGACCACGAGCCGTGTGCACCCACCCAAGTGGACCGGAGGAGCTCGCCCCCCCATACAGTGCACGAGGGAGTCCCCTCAACTCACCCCCACCTCCACCCTGCAGCTGCCAATCCATGAGGGCGGGGCCGGGTGGTCTCCTGTGCCGGGGCGGAGCCCAGAGGGAGCAGGCTCTCAGCCCTCGACCTCCAGCAGCACACAACCCCCAAACTGCAGCACACCGGGACCACTGGAAGTGCAGTGCCTTCTGCTCAGAGGTGAGGTTCAGCCCCTTTCCCTAATATAGAGCTTCACGCGCCGATTACACAACTCTGCTCGAGCCCGCTGCGGGGAGTCAGCACCTGGAGCAGACAAACCAGGCGTCTCCCGCCAAAACGCTGATGGAAAGTCACTATTTTTTAAGGTAGTGCATATACATAGACAGTGCCGTGTGTGTGTGTGTGTGTGTGTGTGTGTGTGTGTGTCTGCACGCACATAAAGTGCCATGTGTATGTATGTACACACACAGAAACAGAGCCATATACAAAAGCACCTATGTATACACATATATATTTAGCAGCTTTATTTTTTTTAAGGATTTATTTATTGATGCATACAAGACCTGGGGTACAGGCCAGAGGTGTTGGGGGGTGAGAGGATTCACCAGAGACAGAGCAGGGAACAGAACAGGCAGACTGACAAAATACACTGCTGAGGGGAGCAGCGGGCGAGACAGGAGAGGTCTGCTGAGCCATGTGGGTAGCTCCCTGGCCGGGGATCAAACTGCAGAGGTTGCAAACAGCTTCATAGTGCTGTGCTTAACCCCTTGTGCCACCAGGGAGGCCCCAACTTTATTTTTTTAAAGCAGTTTTCTCTTCACTGCAAGACTAAGCAGGACAGTCCAGTGACTGGGCCGCCACTGTCAACAGGGACACAGAGGGGCCTCTGCAGCCATGACTGAGCCCGGGTTGACACACATGATCACCCAGGGCCCACAGCTTTTAACAGGGTTTGCCCAAATGGTGTATGACGGTCATCCACCACGACACTGTCCTGCAGAGTGGTGTGACTGTTATAGGACAGGGAGAGGGGCAGCCCAAACCCCGCAAACCTGCCTATTCTAAATGGGTTCTGCCATCCGCCGCATCAACACAAAACATAGGAGACTTTAATGGGAAGGAACTTTAATTAAACTAGGAAACAATACAGGTAAGGCAAAGAGTCTAGTTTCTAAATGAAGCATCCAGAGTTACCCATCCCCTCGTGGGTAAAAGTCCATCCATATGGGATCGGCCCAGAGCAAGGCCCCAAAGCCTGCTACAAGTCTAAAGCATCTTCCAGTGGGGACCCACAGAAAAGGGTCAGAAACAACCAGACAAGCCCGGAAGGAAAAGAGCAAAATCAACATCAAGATAAAAGCTGCCATGGTCACCTCCCCACGGGTCTCACCCACATCTGTGTCACCCCGTCCACGACCAAAAGACAAGCGCAGTTTCTTCACGTGTCTCTAGGCTCCATGCACCTCCTCCAGGTCTCCTGGCTCCATCCTGCTTCCTTCCTCAGTCTCTTCTGCAGCTTCTCCTCTTCCTGCTCAGCTCCACCCTCCCTTGGGTGGGGCAGGGAACCTCCCCCTTTCCTGGGGACCACCCTGTTGCATGACCACCCTGAAACTGCTCTGACTCCCCTAGTCCCATCTGTTCGGGCACACTTTTGAGTTAAGGACCTCCGCTGAGTTCCTACCCTGCTCTGTGAGCTGGGCTTTGACGTGCAGGGAAATCACAGCACAGACAGGATCAAGGGCCCTCCCCAAGGTTACTTTTGAGAAAACCAATAACAGAGCCAGCAGCAGAATGTGCTGGAAGCCTGTGTGCAGTCATCATCCTGTCAACCCACCTTCCTCCAGCCCTCGTTGGAGGGCCCATCCTACTGGCCCGTTTACAGCTGACCGAATGGGGGGAACACTGCCAAGGTCACAAGCAGCTAAGCAGGCTGCCCTGCGTGCAAAACCAAGGCCGGGTGCCTCTTTTCAGATGCAGGAACCCATCCATCACCAGGCTCAGCGGACGTTCCGGGGAGGCAGTGAGTACACCTGCAGGTCAGGGGCCTCTGCCAGCAGGGGCAGGTGCACCGCAGGCGCTGACCCTCTCAGCCGGACCCTGCCCTCCGGGACACCCCCTCATGCCACACAGCATCCTGGAGCAGGGGCCCCGCTTGACTGCAAGCCAGGATGCCACCACACTGACCATGGAGGCCGCATGGTGCCCAGCCTCGAGAAAGCAGCCCTGCACTGCCAGCGTGCTCAGTGACGGGGCAGCATCATGTCCGCAGCACACCCATGAGACACAGCAGCCTCTCTGGGTCAGTGCAGGGCCGTGAGCAGAGCAGAGGGCTCGGGGGGGGCTCGTGAGCCTGGGACCGCCTGTCATCCTGCCATCCGCGTGTTCCCATCAGGGACAAAGCGGGAGTGCCAAGTCCCCCCGGGCTGGCCAGCTCTGACCCTGGGCTTTCCAGCAGGAGAAGGGTCCATCATTCCTGGGACTTTGAAGCCCTGGCTCCAGGGCTGCTGGGAAACACTCCATTAACTCGAATTGCAAATTTCCTCCCTGCTCTATCGCTCAGCCACAGGGGCTCCCCGGCCACCCGCTTTCCTGTGGCAGATAAAGATTACAGTCCTTGCTGCAGACGGAACCCAGCAGCAGAAGCCATTATACAGGAAGAATTATGTTGAGTTATGTCTGGTCGCTCCCGATTTCTGTCTAGCGACGGTCTCACAAATGGCCGTGCCTCTTCCTCTCCGGGCCGACAACTGTGAAGCCTGACTGAGCAAACAGACCTGGTGGTTCTGCTCTACCACCCCCAGCTCCCACGGGGTGGGGATTGGGCATCTCCAGGGCAGGCTCTCTGGGACACCCTTTGGGGCTTATAAACTTCCTCCACGTCATCCTGACCCAAGCAGACCGGCCAGGCCCACTGCACATGTCACTTTCTCTGGGGGGGCCCTTGCGGACTCCCTGACTTTCCCACCCTTTGCTCATGTTAGGCCTAGGGCACCGCCTTCTCGTAGGTTTGGGCTCTCTGGGGAGTGACCAGGTCTGACTCAATCTCATACTTCCAGCTACTCACACAGACCTGGCCCAGGGGGAGGGCCTGGGGAGCAGTGAGGGGTCAGACCACCCCACCCCAAATCCCAGCTCTTCTTGTGTCATCTTGACACAGTATTTAACTTTTTTCTTCCTCTGTTTCCCCATTTGTAAAATGGAGATGATAATACTAAATAGTTTATCAAATTTACATTCTTGTAAAAATGCAATGGCTAATGGGAAAAATGATTGGGATGTAGGAAAAGTTCAATAAATGCCAACTATGACTAAATCAACAGAAAGGCTGTGAAAACATTCCTATAAGAATCTAAACCAGGGGCCTCCCTGGTGGTGCAAGGGGTTATGACGCAGCACTATGTAGCTATCCACAGCTACTGCAGCACACAATCAATCCCCAGCCAGGGAGCTGACCCACATGGCGCAGCAGACCTCTCCTGTCTCCCCGCTGCTCCCTCAGCAGTGTATTTCGTCAGTCTGCCTGTTCTGTTCCCCACTCTGTTTCCGGTGGATCCTTCCATCCCCCCACACCTCTGGCCTGTACCCCAGTTCTTACATGCATAAATAAAATAAATCTTTCAGAAAAAAAATCTAAACCAACTGGAAAGATATAAACTACCAAAGTGGATACAGGAAGAGATAGACAATCTAAAAGCCTATAAGAAGATATTATATCTTGAACAGATATAGTAATCAAGAAGAGATTGAATTAGTAACTGCTCACAAAGAAAAACCCAGACCCAAAGGCTTTACTGCGGAATTTGACAAACATTTAAGGAATTAATACTAATTCTTCACAAATGCTTCTAAAATTGATTCTGAGGCCAGTATTAATTACCTTGACACCAAAACCAAAGACTTCACAAGGGAAGAAAACTATAGATCACAACGATGAGGATGGATGCAAAACTCAATAAAATACTAGCACCCAAATCCAGCGACATAAAGAACAAAGGGAATTGCATACCATGACCCAGTGGGATTGATTTCAGGAATGCAAGATTGGTTTACCAGTCGACAATCAAATCAATGAATGT